TGCCCAGTGGGATGGGCCGACCGTAGTTGTGTGGTTGGAGGTATATCCTAATTTTACTACCGAGCTTAGTGTGTTACATGATGTGACTTTACTGATCCATCTCGTAGACTGGGCCTAACGTTCTGGCCTTCTTGTTTCCTGTCTCCAGCTCTGGGTGGGGATGCCCGCCTGGTATGTGGCTGCCTGCCGAGCCAACGTGAAGAGCGGGGCCATCATGTCGGCCCTGTCGGACACCGAGATCCGGCGTGAGATCGGCATCAGCAACCCCCTGCATAGGCTGAAGCTGAGGCTGGCCATCCAAGAGATCATGTCTCTTACCAGCCCGTCCGCCCCTCCCACGTCGCGAACGGTATGTCCAAGGAAAACTTCTTTGAAGGTAGCATTCCCCTGCTTACATTGCTTCTCCAGTTCTTTATAAACTCATCTGGTGTAGTTCTAATTTAAGATTTTGTTGTTCAAATACATTAGAACTTTTAATTTGTGGGAATTGAATGGTCAAAAGAAACTTTATTAAATGCTTTTATAGAATAGCATTGTAATATGCAAATGAGGGTTTTTTTAAAAGATAGCATACACAAATTTGAGTATTAATTTATCAAAATTGACTTGGTCTAAGGGCCTCTTGAGAAGGATAAAGGTAACATTTTTAAGTACATACTTTATACTTAAACTTTTAAAAATTTATTTTCTATTTATTTCTTGATTCAAACTGAGTGAATCACTAGCATTTGCACTGTACCTAAGGATATCTGCTAAGCAAATAATAGTGTCAATGTTCTTTAAATTTTGTTGAATATAATATACATAGAGAAGAATGCTCATTAAGTGTAACAGTGAAATGAATTTGTACGATCCAAACACCCCTGTGCAGTCGGCACCCACATTGAGAAAAGGGGCTTGACCAGGGCCCTGGAGGACCCTCACACTCCTCCTACGTCACTGCTCCATCCGCAAGAGGTAGAGGCCTGACTCCTGGCACTATAGAGGGGTCTGTTTTCTCTTTTATATAAATGGCATCGTGCAGCATTTACTCTTTTGTATCCAACTTCTTTCACGTGACGTTATGTTTGTCAGTTCATCCATATCATTTCCTGTGGAAGAAGGATTTTAAGGAGTGAGGTTTTTGTGTCTATTGCAGAGTACTGGCTCTTCCAGGCACCTTAGAAGCATCTATTTATATAAAGGGGAAAAAGGTCACTGGTTGCTTTGTAAACAGTGTTTTACTCTATTTGACTTGTTTGGCCTATTAGTGCTTTCCATTTTGGGAGCTTTGGATCCTGGGAACTCAGGATTTCAAGCAGTTGACAAATTTTACTAGAACAGTTTAAAACTGTTCTAATGAAAACATTAACGGTTACTGGGAGGTAAGGGCAGGCCAACACCTAATTTGTAAAGTTCAGACTTTTTACATTGGCTGGATACACACACTCTGCTTTTAGTTTACCGTGGAAAGAAAACAAACTCTTGTTAAGAGATAAAGAACCACACAGGCTTTTTTTTTTTTTTTTTCTTCTTCTTTAAAAGATGGCTGGTATGAGGATCTTAACCCTTGGCTTGGTGTTGTCAGCACCACGCTCAGCCGGTGAGCAAACCAGCCATCCCTTTATAGGATCCGAACCCGTGGCCTTGGTGTTATCAGCACCACACTCTCCAGAGTGAGCCACGGGCCGGCCCTAGAACCTCACAGACTTACTTCTCTGAATAGCAGGTCAAGGCCTGATTCAGGGTTCCCCAGTTACTTTACAAAAAAAAGTGTTAAGGCTTTTTTGTTTTATTTTTTGTTTTCCTAGTGGAAGAATTATGGTAATGAACAGTAACCTTTGTGCTCACCTGTGGCTCAGGGAACGCTTTTCTCAGCAGAATGCTTTGTAAACAGCAACCAATCTGTTCCCCAGTTGTTTCACTGTGGAGCAGCCTTTCTAAAAATGGAGGTGCTATGTGGTTTTTCCAAAGTTTTTATAAACTATCTTCGCAAAGGTAGTTTCTTGTGAGTTCAGTTTAATGAATAGTGATGAAGAACATGCCTCATGTAAGGCAGTCTCTCCACACTGTCAGGCACAGGAGTAAAAACCTGCTTCCTCAGGGCGGCCACGGCTGACGGGTGGTGGCCATCCGGCTCGTCTGCTTCTGATGGGTGCATGGGCTGGTGTTTTTGGCGTGTTGATGTTGCTGGCACTCTGTGACTTGGTCAGCCCACTCCCTGCCTCTTTGGTTCTCTCTGGTTTGGTTGTCCAGGCCGAGAGGTCCCATCACTGGAGCGTCTGCTGAGCAGAGTCTTAAAACAGTAAAGCAGGAGTTTTGTGCAGTGTTCTTTGTTCTTAATATTTGGATAAGACTGTTTTAAATATATTGAATCAGTAGTTACTTGAGAGTTACTCAAAATTTTCAGAAGAACAAAACGTGTTTTCTAAAAATTTGTTGTACCTTGGGGTGAGCATGGCATCTGCAGCTCTGGAAATCGTGTGCTGTTGACGACACAGCGTTAACAGGGTGTGGTTATTCTTTAAAAGGGGCGGGCTTGTGTAATGTTCTGTCCTGTTCTGTACGGGGACGTCTGCAGTGAAAAGGTGTGAGGAGTGACCTTTGCCCCACAGCTCTCCTCTGTGCCTGTAGCTCATGTGTGTGCCCCTCTCCTCTTTGTCACTGCTTCCCTTGCCCTGGATGTGGTTGGTGCACGGGGGTCACCTTAGACCACAGGGACTGTCTGGTTAACTCACGAAGAAATGGAAACGCTCGCAGCCACGCCGCAAACGGTCAGTCATGCGCGCACCCTTGCTCCTCGTGGTGTGTTTCCACTTCAGCCGTCTGGGTGCTTCGCCTTTTTGTTGAAAACAAAAATGTTACTTTACATTTAGTTGTTCCAGATAAATATTTCCTTTAGTTATTAATTGAATATGTAAAATAGAATTTGTATTTTATTTTAGAGTTTTTTCAGAAACTTAACGTTGGTAGACTTGCTATATTTAGAATAGATTTAATACACCTCTCCTTTTGGAGAGACCTTAGCTTAAGAACTTAACGTTGAACTAGACTTGCTATATTTAGAATAGATTTAATACACCTCTCCTTTTGGAGAGACCTTAGCTTAAGCAGTCCGTTGTGATTGTCTAGCTGGAGCTTTCTCCTTTCATCGATGTGCTTGGCATGGGAAGAGTCTATCCTTGCATGAGAAATTGGAATTGTTGGTTTTGCATGAGTTTTGCATGATACTTTGATATTTTTGAACTTTTTTACTCCATTAAGCTGCACCTCCCTACAAAGTTTATTTGCTTGTGTTACTAAACTCACCAATACTAATAGTTATGTTCTTTTGCATTCCTAACCACGTAACATCAGGAAGATGAGGAGGGAAGCTGGGCTCAGGTTGGAGTCTTTCTATGATATACTCTTTACTATATGTACAGCAACAAAAAGCAATTAGAATAGGAAAGTCTGTGTAATTTACTTTTATTGATGTTTCTAGAATCTTAATTTATTCAGAGTATTGTTAATGATTGGAAAGCATTAGTCAGGCAAAGAATAGGATTAAAGAGTACGTCTCATGGACAATTTTGAACATTTCTCATATGTAGCCATGGTAGTTATTTTTAATTAACATAGGTTGCTCTGTTTAACATGTGCTCTTTTATACAGAGTCCCGTGGCTGAGGCAGCTTCTAAGATTAACTTGCTTCTGGGTTAATGGTATTCTAATACATTTTTAAATGCAAAAAGTTGGCATGGTGACTTTTCCCCTGAGTCTTTCTATTGGTTTCTTACTAAATACTATCCTAATACTGGGTCCACTTAAAGGTTTTCTACTAATGGAATTCTCAGAAATGAATTCTCACTTAATGTGCATTTGAATTTTCAGCTCCCCAGTTCTTCAACTCACAGAAGGCCATGTCCTCGTTGTTTTGTAGACTTGATGTTCAGACAGTTTAATGAAATGACAGTGGTTCTTTCTGTGTTAATCCGCCAGCATTGCTGTCTGTTGTGCTGTAGGTCTTGATGACAGATCATAGCTGCAGGTGTGGAGAGGCAGCTCTTCTTGGGACTCTCACCACTGGCCAGTGACTCTACATCTGAAAAAAATCAAAATAATCTTAAATCAGAATTTTCCTAATTAAAGGGTGATGGTTGAAACAACTGGTTTTTTCTATTTGCAGTCCTATAGTTTAGCCAGTTATGTTGCTTTTTTTTTTTTAAAGAGAGGAATAGCTATAATATGATTCTGTGGGTTTCTCCCTCATACTTAAGCATTCTGTGCCTCTTCTCCACATAAATAACCTTATTAATTATTAAACTACTTAGATATTTCTTTACAAGGCCAGTAATGACCATCAGTGAATTAAGCAGGGTGCATTTTATAACTATTTAAATTTCAGTGTATTTACATTAAGAAGCAGAACTTGTCAGCAAGTCAGTATGAAGTTGCCAGTGTCAGAGGCATGAAGTGTAAATTAAATAAGCTTAACTTTTGCTCTTCACAGTGGGAATATAGACAAGAAGGGCCATGCTGATGACTCTGGAATTAACCCACATGCAGTGTTTGGTGAAAGTTTGTATCGCTTTCCCACCGTCTCCTCATCTAGGTGAAACTGCCACATGCTGCCAAGGGCAGAAGTCCAGCCTGCCCTCCCGTGCTCCTTGTCTTGGGGGTAGCATGCATTCTTTCACCATTAGGTATGGCATTAGCTCTTCGTGTGTCGTAGTGCCCTTGGGCAGGATGAGGCACTTTTCTTCCTTTCCTAGAATGCCAGGAGTTCCATAAATGAATGATGAATCTTGACAGGTACTTTTTCTACATCTTTTGGGATGATGATATGGCTTTTCTTTTTCAATCTCTTGATATGGTAAATTTCATTGATTTTCAAAGTTTGAATCAATTATGTCCACATTTGTCATGCTGTCTTATTCTTTAATATATTGATTTTGTTTGCTAATATTTTGTTTAGCATTTTGCATCTGTATCTGTGAAAGGTAGTGGTCTGTAGTTTTCTTTCCTTGTAGTATCTTTGGTTTTGCTAGTCAGGATAATGCTGGCCTCGTAGAACGGGTTAGGATTTTCCTTCTCTTCCTCCTCCTTTGAAACAGGTTTGTGTAGAGTTGTGGGGATTTATTAATTTACTGTGATAAATATTTGGTAGAATTCACCAGTAAGGCTATCTAGGGTAAAGATTTGTATGTATGTGAGAGAATATTTATAACTGCGAGTTCCAGGTTCTAATAGGTACAGGTGTCTCTTAGTTAGTGGCTTTGGTAGTTTATCATTTAAGAAATTTGTCCGTTTCATTTCAGGTGCTTAAAATTGTTGACAGCATTCCCTTATTTTTTCAATGCCTATTGAACCTGTACTAATATCCCCTTTCATTCTTGATATTGGTAATTTGTGCCTTCTCTTTTTTTTCTTGATCAGTCTGGCTGGGGTTTGTTAGTATTTCAAGGTTTTCAAGGTAGAGTCTTAGATCATTGATTTGAGACCTTTCTACATTTATAATGTATGCATTTAATACTATAAATTTTCCTCGAGGCATTGCTTTAGCTGCATCCCACAGGTTTTGAATATATTATGTTTCCACTTTCATTCAATTAAATATATTTTTCAATTTCCCTTGAGATTTCTTCTTTGACACATGAGTTATTTAGAAGTATACTAATTTCCAAGTATGTGGGGTGTTTCTAAATAACTTTTTATTACTGATTTATAATTCTGTTGTGGTTAGAGAATATATTTTGTATGAGTTCAGCCTCTTTTAAGTTTGTTGCGATTTGTCTGTCTTGGAGAATATTCCATGTGCATTTTAAAAGAATGTATATTCTGTTGTTGGGTGGAATGTTCTATAAATTGTCAAGTCAAGTTGGTTGTTAGTGTTGTTTAAGTGTTCTGTACTCTTATTGAGGGTTTTTTATTGTTTTTTGGGGTTTTTTTGTTTGTTCAGTTACTGAGAGAGGAGTGTTGAAATCTTCTGACTATAACTGTGGATTTGGGTGTTTCTCCATTCAGTCCTATTAGTTGTTGCTTTATGTTTTTAAAACTATTTTTTAATTCACTTTTACTGGTTTTGAAACAAACACATGTTTTGTTTAGAAAAACAAAGTGTTAAAAATAAAATTGATCGCCAGCCACCAAAATAAATAAGTAAAATTAAAACTAGCCAGAGATAATTTTAATGAGTAGAGTTGAATTGATCCTTCAAACTTGTTCATGAGTCGTGATCATTCTTTGTTTTTGTATTATTATATTAAAAACTATTTCAGAAGGGAAATTTGTAGTCAGTTACAGTTTTATTGTGGTTTGGCAAATAAGTTAAATTTGTCACAAACAAGTCATGGACTTTTAGTGATATGATTCCTTTTGTATAAAATTTTACTAACATTTAAAATAGGAGCTCAAATTATTTTGTGGAAATAGATCAAATTATTTTGGAATTATAAAGAGCAATGTTGTCATTAGTTTAGCATTTGGGAGTATGCAATTGGTTAAAAATTCTATTTAAAGATTATTTAAACTGCTCTAGTGACTCCTTCTGTGACTGTCTTCCTTGTTTATCACAAACAGACACTCGCATATGGGGACATGAACCACGAGTGGATTGGGAACGAGTGGCTGCCCAGCCTGGGCCTCCCTCAGTACCGCAGCTACTTCATGGAGTGCCTGGTGGACGCCAGGATGCTGGACCACCTGACCAAGAAGGACCTCCGCGGGCAGCTGAAAATGGTCGACAGTTTCCACAGGTAGGTTAATGCAGATGGTTCTTACTAGTTGACTACAAGATTTTTCACTGTTGCCATCTCTAAATAATCTCTTTTTTTAAAAAATAGAAACAGTTTCCAGTGTGGAATTATGTGCCTGAGAAGATTAAATTATGACCGAAAAGAACTGGAAAGAAAAAGAGAAGAAAGTCAGAATGAAGTAAAAGGCTAGTACATGGTGTTTCATTGATTTAGCATATTCCTGCTTCCCTGCTGTGTTAGCAGGCTCAGTGATTTCCAATTTTTCAAAAAGTTGGGAAAGGCTTTAAGGGCGTCATTACAGAGGAGGAGGGAGAAAAGGAGTACTCCAAGACCTTCTTCTGCAGCCAGAGAGTATGCACTGCATCCGCGTGCAGGTTAAGTGTCCCAAGCTAGCACTTTCCCGTGAGTGTAGAGTTTTCCTTGTGTTACGACATGTGTGCTCTTTCACTGAGAAATGCTGTTCCCCACTGTCAGATAACAACAGAGCAAAGGTGAGCAAGCCCTGCTCTCTGCTCACTGGATTCAAGTGTGAAAAATACGGCACTGGGGGTTTATCCACGGGCTTCAGGAGCACAGAAGAGCACCTTGTGGTTCTGCTCCCAGGGTGGAGGGAAAGAGACACAGAGTTAGCGTGTCAGCTGGTTTTGAAGGAAGAGTATGAGCTTCTTGGGGGGTGGGGGGTAGCAAGGAAGAGGCACTTCAGTTAGAATATAAAGGCTGAGCCATGTAAGAAGATGTGGCCGTTCACCTGGGACACACAAGGATCTCTCCTCTGTTGGGGGCCTCTCACCTAGTGCCCTCTGAATGACCAAGGAATTTGCTTTTTAAGTATGACACTAAACATTGAGCTCAAAGTAAACTCTCCCAGAATTTTTGGATTGTAAGGAAATCACTAATAATGATACTAAGCAGCAGACCTTAACTGAACAGTGAGTAGGTGCCAGGCAGTGTTCCAAGCAGTTTCATGGGTTGATTTATTTAATCTTTACCACAGCCCTATGAATATAGATGCTATTTTCATGCCCAGTTTTTACTAAGAAAGAAACTAAAGATAAAAATATGGCTGAGAGATAGCCCATTTGAAGGGTAGTTTATTCATGATTGAGTTAGTGTGAATATTAGAAAAACCGTAAGTCGACGTTTATACAGTATATTTATGTGTATGACCTTTCATCCAGAAGATGCCCAGAAACGGCATTGGAAATGAAATATGTCAGTCTGTTTTCTGTATCCATTTTATGTCTCTTTATAACTGACAAAAGCTGTCTTTGGAAGTGATTAGTAAAAGTAACTAAAAAAAAAAAAAAACAGTGATTAGTGATCATCTGAATGTGTTTCTACAGAGTGGCTATTTTTAGATTCTCTAATAGAGCAGATTTATTAATTCACATATGTGAGATCTTCCCCAGTGTCTCTAATATGCTGGAGCATACCTTTGCCTCTCTGTTTTTAAAATGGGACAACATGTACAAAGTCTTCAAGACGAGAACCAGGGGCCTGTGTAGAGTTGAGCAAGCTGTCCGGGTCAGATGGCACTAGCCCTCCTGCGGTGGGAGGTCTGTTTCCAGAGTGCTTCTGATGGGTGCATGGGCTGGTGTTTTTGGCGTGTTGATGTTGCTGGCACTCTGTGACTTGGTCAGCCCACTCCCTGCCTCTTTGGTTCTCTCTGGTTTGGTTGTCCAGGCCGAGAGGTCCCATCACTGGAGCGTCTGCTGAGCAGAGTCTTAAAACAGTAAAGCAGGAGTTTTGTGCAGTGTTCTTTGTTCTTAATATTTGGATAAGACTGTTTTAAATATATTGAATCAATAGTTACTTGAGAGTTACTCAAAATTTTCAGAAGAACAAAACGTGTTTTCTAAAAATTTGTTGTACCTTGGGGTGAGCATGGCATCTGCAGCTCTGGAAATCGTGTGCTGTTGACGACACAGCGTTAACAGGGTGTGGTTATTCTTTAAAAGGGGCGGGCTTGTGTAATGTTCTGTCCTGTTCTGTACGGGGACGTCTGCAGTGAAAAGGTGTGAGGAGTGACCTTTGCCCCACAGCTCTCCTCTGTGCCTGTAGCTCATGTGTGTGCCCCTCTCCTCTTTGTCACTGCTTCCCTTGCCCTGGATGTGGTTGGTGCACGGGGGTCACCTTAGACCACAGGGACTGTCTGGTTAACTCACGAAGAAATGGAAACGCTCGCAGCCACGCCGCAAACGGTCAGTCATGCGCGCACCCTTGCTCCTCGTGGTGTGTTTCCACTTCAGCCGTCTGGGTGCTTCGCCTTTTTGTTGAAAACAAAAATGTTACTTTACATTTAGTTGTTCCAGATAAATATTTCCTTTAGTTATTAATTGAATATGTAAAATAGAATTTGTATTTTATTTTAGAGTTTTTTCAGAAACTTAACGTTGGTAGACTTGCTATATTTAGAATAGATTTAATACACCTCTCCTTTTGGAGAGACCTTAGCTTAAGCAGTCCGTTGTGATTGTCTAGCTGGAGCTTTCTCCTTTCATCGATGTGCTTGGCATGGGAAGAGTCTATCCTTGCATGAGAAATTGGAATTGTTGGTTTTGCATGAGTTTTGCATGATACTTTGATATTTTTGAACTTTTTTACTCCATTAAGCTGCACCTCCCTACAAAGTTTATTTGCTTGTGTTACTAAACTCACCAATACTAATAGTTATGTTCTTTTGCATTCCTAACCACGTAACATCAGGAAGATGAGGAGGGAAGCTGGGCTCAGGTTGGAGTCTTTCTATGATATACTCTTTACTATATGTACAGCAACAAAAAGCAATTAGAATAGGAAAGTCTGTGTAATTTACTTTTATTGATGTTTCTAGAATCTTAATTTATTCAGAGTATTGTTAATGATTGGAAAGCATTAGTCAGGCAAAGAATAGGATTAAAGAGTACGTCTCATGGACAATTTTGAACATTTCTCATATGTAGCCATGGTAGTTATTTTTAATTAACATAGGTTGCTCTGTTTAACATGTGCTCTTTTATACAGAGTCCCGTGGCTGAGGCAGCTTCTAAGATTAACTTGCTTCTGGGTTAATGGTATTCTAATACATTTTTAAATGCAAAAAGTTGGCATGGTGACTTTTCCCCTGAGTCTTTCTATTGGTTTCTTACTAAATACTATCCTAATACTGGGTCCACTTAAAGGTTTTCTACTAATGGAATTCTCAGAAATGAATTCTCACTTAATGTGCATTTGAATTTTCAGCTCCCCAGTTCTTCAACTCACAGAAGGCCATGTCCTCGTTGTTTTGTAGACTTGATGTTCAGACAGTTTAATGAAATGACAGTGGTTCTTTCTGTGTTAATCCGCCAGCATTGCTGTCTGTTGTGCTGTCGGTCTTGATGACAGATCATAGCTGCAGGTGTGGAGAGGCAGCTCTTCTTGGGACTCTCACC